TCCTATAAATTGTGTTGTGTTAAACTGTTTCCCTTGCAAACTCTGACTACAATAGTTGACAAGATTTTTTTTCTCATTCTCTAGTTTATCTTTTCACTCTCTTGTTTGTGTGTTTTGCTGTGTAGAAACTTTAAGCTGATATGATCTAGTTTTTTGATTCTTGGTACCATTTCTGGTGCAACTAGGTTCTGTTCAAAAAGTTCTTGGTAATGCCTATGACATCAAGAGTTTTGCCTACTATATCTTCCAGCATATTAAGTGTTTCTGTTTTAGCATTTAGTTCTTTGATCCATTTGCTTTTAGTTTAGTACATTATGAGAGATATGGGATTAGATTTAACCTTCTGCATGTGGATAGCCAGTTTTCCCAACACCCTTTAGTAAAGAGGCTAGCTTTCCTCTACTGTATGTTTCTGGCTCATTTTCAATTTTAGTAAAGCCTGAAAAAATTTTTTAAAAACTGGAATTTTCATTAGAATTAGATTATTAGATAAGTTTCTTTTGAAAATTGTTATTTTCAAGGGTTTCACCTTAAATGTACTACTTGAAATCTTCAGTTTCTCTGTAACAGTTTTCTGTACACATATTTTAAAAATTTTGTGGTGATATTTATCACTGTTTTATATTTTACACTCTTGTAAGCAATGTATTTGGTTTCTGTTCATCACCATGAAGTGAAGATATACTTTCATTTGAAATTACAAAAGAGAGAGAAATGGGTTTTGAATCAAACCTCTGCTTGTGAATAGCCAGTTTTCTCAACACCACTTATTAAAGAGACTATCTTTCCCATAATGTATGTTTTTGGCTCCTTTGTCAAAGATCAAACAGTTGAAAGTGTTTGGAGTTCTTTCTGCAGCCTCTACTTTATTCCATTGATATTTATGTCTGTTTGTATGCCAGAACCATATTGTTTTTATTAATGTAACTTTGAAATATAACCTCAAGTCTAAGATGTTGATGCCTCCTGCTTTGTGCTTGTTAACCAGAATTGTTTTTGCTATTCTAGTTCTCTTCTGGTTTTATATGAACTTTAAGATGTTTTTCCTCCAGCTCTGTAAGGAATGCTATTGATATTTTCATTGGAATTGCATTAAAGGTACATATCAATTTTGAAAATATAGCCACTTTTACTATGTTGGATCTATCTATCAAACAGCAGGGAATGTCTTTCCATTTTTGATGTCCTCTTTGATTTTCTTTTCTTTCTTTCTTTTTTTTTTTTTTTTTTTTTTTTTGTCTTTTTCTTTTTTATCGGTACTGTGGATTGAACTCACGACTGCCTGCTTTCAAGGCAGGTGCTTATGCCGCTGAGCTAAATCCCCAGCACCTCTTTGATTTTCTTTTCATTTGGTGCATTTTTTTGGTGGGGTCTTCTATGTAGAGGATCATGTTATTTGTAAATAATAGTAATTTAAATTATTTCTTTTATATACTTATTCTTTTATTTCTTTTTCTTACCTAGTTGCTTTTGCTAATATTTCTAGTACTGAATTATACAGGAGTAGTGATAGTAGACCGCTTTGTATTGTTCCTGATTTTAGAAGGAAAGTTTTCAGTTTTTGCACATTTAATATGATCTTGGCAGGGAATTTGTCATAAATGGTTTTATCAGACTGAGATAAGATCCTCCTACCTACTTTCTTCGAGTTTTTATCATGAAAAGATATTGGATTTGCCAAACACTCTTTAGCATCTATTGAAATGATCATGTGACTTTTCCCTTGCTTTTGTTCATGTAACATATTCCATTTATTGATTTACATATGTTGAAATATCCTGGCATCAATCAGAGGAAGCCTAGTTGGTCATAATGCGTGATCTTTTTGATGATTTGTTGCATTCTGTTTGCTGGGACCTTGCTGAGAATTTTTGCATTTATATTCATTAAAGAGTTGTAGCTGCTTCTGTTCTGTTGTTATTGTTGTTTGATCTTTATCTGATTTTTTAATCAGGGTAATGATAGCTCCCATTAAAGAGATTGAAGAATATTATATTATTTCTTTTTCATAACTGGATAAATATACGTATGTAGGTATGTTAGTTACTTCTCCCTCCTGGTTGGGACAAAATATCTGATGACCAAACTGAAAGAAAAAAAGGTTTACTTAGCTTGCAGTTTGTGGAGGTTTCCGTACATAATCAGCTGGTTCCAAGACAAGGTGACATGGTAACAGGGCAACCATTCATGGCAGTGGAAGACAGTGAAAGCAATAAGAAAAAAAGTGGAGGAGTGTGAGAGCAAGCTTCTTTCCTTCTCTTATATTGCATGCAGGTTACCAAGTACTTTTGGCTTCATAATCACAGCTTCACATATTGCCCTCTCAGGGACATGCTGCCTGGCCTCTCAGGCCTTCTGAGACCAGGATGGAAGTCTTGTAACCTCAGAACTCTTACATCCTTTGTGTGCCTAAAATCAATGCTGTGTGGATGTTGTTGGGTTCCACTGCCAGCTGGAGCAGTATCCAGGCTTTCCTCTTTCTTGGCTGTAAAGATTGAGTGCCTGGATTACTGAGCACTCTGAACCTGATTCTGAGGAACAAATTCTCTATACTACCACCATTCTGGAATCTTGTGTGGCTGCCACCATTTTGGAACTTGGTGTGGCCTCTGTGGCCATTCTGTAACATGCCATTCTACAGCTTTCTCCTCAAAGCAAAGTCTTTGTTGCAAGGGTGGAGGGCTGGTGTTTCCCATGATGTCCCCAGGCCATTTTTTTTATTCATTTCTTCTCAGAAATGGAGATCTCAGTTCTGTCTTTATAGTTCAACTTTACTGCAGTTTTTGTTAGTCAAATTCACATTTTAAATCATCCTGCTGGGCTGTTTGCTCGATTTGCAATATAAATCTGGCTAACATCCCCAACAATAGTCACGCCGCTGCCTCAACATTAGACTGCCTTGAAATTTCTTCTGCCATATTATTTAGAACACTGTCCTTAATCTCAGTATCAGGAAAAGTCTCTAAACAGGAACAAAATGCAGACAAACTTTCTGCCAAACTGTAACATACATTGTCTGGAATCCAACAAACCAATGTAGTTCTTCCCAGAAGAACCCTCCCACACCTGGTCTTTACCAGCAGAATTTCTATCAGCCTTCTGGTCTCCTAAGCTCTGATAAGAATCTTTCATATAGAAAAGCCTAAGGCATTCCATCTCTACTCCTTCAGGCAACATCTCTGAACTTTTCCACAGGCTATTCCCAAAGGCTCTTGAACCATATGGTCAGGTATAGTCACAGCAATGACCCCACTTTTCTAATACCAAATTCTGTACTAGCTACTTTTCTCTCATTACTAGGACAAATATTACTGATGCCCAAAATGTAGGGAGGAAAGGTTTATTTAGCTTGCAGTTTGTGGAGGTTTCAGTACAGAATCAGCTGGTTCCAAGGCAGGGTGGCATGGCAGCAAAGCAACCATTCATGGAGGTGGAAGAGAGCAAAAACAAGAACAAAAGGGGAAGAATGTGAGAGAAAGCCTCTTTCCTTCTCTTATACTGTATGCAGGTTACACACCCCAGAGTGGGTATAGCACTCACACCCCTCAACCCAACATTGGGATCAATCACAAACTCTAGAAGTCTGCCTCTATGACTACAGGAGGCTTTGAGGGGAACATTCAGATACAGTAGAGAAATCGAAGTTTGAATGTGTCCTGTTAACCTTATCCCAAATTCTAACCACACAATAGGACCCACCCTGAGTGGAGTGGTGATCAGTCCTGGAAAATGTAAAAATCTGAACTTTCTAAGAAAAAAAAATGAAATTAATAGAAAATTTCCATGCTCTGTGTTGGAGAGTTTAGAAGAGACCAGTAGAAAAAGACCTACATTTTGTTGGTTTTCAAAGATTTCTGAATTTCTATGGAATGGGAAAAAAATCTCATGAATATTTCTAGGATGATGTGTCCTCCTGAACTAAGGTAGTAGAAGAAATACTGAATTTCCTCTGGATACGATTCTAGGAGAATCCCAAGTTTTGTCTGCTGAAAACACTGGAGAACAGAAAGATTTTCTTTAGGTAGCAGCCTATGGAAATTATATTTTGGCAATTAGGCAAATCTCTAACTCACGCAGGAGGAGACTGTGGTGCCTCCATACATTTTCAAGATTTTTGTCACCTAGGTACCCCCGCAGTGGGAACATGACCTCCAGTGAATAATATAAGAAATGGTAACTTCCACATCAAGAAATGGAATCCCAACACTTTGAGTGAAGAATTAAAAGGATATTTTAAAGATGTGTTGTTCTAAACAAAAATGTGTTCTAGAAAAATAGAGCTGGTGGAGAAGTCCATCCCTATCTTGTGCAATAAACAGTATAAGATTATGGAAACAGGGGTTGGAGAAATCCGATAATAGTTCTGTTTTCACAAACTTGTCTGAAATTGGAGTTAATAATTATGGACCAGTTTTTTAGATTTAGATAAAAACAAACAAAAGCTTCCTGAAGCTAATCATTTAAATAGAACAAGAATAACAAAAGTTTCCTGAAACTGATCATGTAAGTGAAGTTTGAGATTTTGGATCAATCCAGTTAAGTAATACAATAGTATTAATTGACTTCTTAAATTTTAGGGGAAATAGATAAGGTAAAAATAAAGTTATTTAAGTATTTTAAAAGCAGGGTTAGACTTATAACTGAACAAAAATAACATCCCACCTAAAAAATAAACTTACAAAAGTGACTAGGAAGTTTAAGCATAGCATCAGCACTCATATACATACACACACACATACACATGAAAGTACATTAAGTCTAGAAAGAGACCGTGATTCGCAAACAAACACAAAAGAATTGAATGACTGGATGAGTTAACCAATGAAATAAAGTTAGAATAGATAATAGATCTGGAAAACAGATCCAGCACACTTTTCATGTAAATGACAGAAGTAATAGAAGAAAAAATATGAACAGATAGAGGAAAGGAAGCTTTACTACCTTAATACTTGAATTAAGAAATCCTTTCTTCTTCTACATATCAGGAAAAAAGAGGAATTGCTTTGAATTTCTGGACCCAAAAGCTGGCACAAAGTTAGATAGCGTGGCTACTAGCCTGAGGGCATAGAAGCTGCAGCTCTTCTACAAAAGAAGCCACAAAATAACTTTGGGACCAAAACTATAACTCTTGATTCTCCATGAGGTTCACGACTCTTCTTGAAACAAAAGGTCACTTGTGATTGACACAGGCACAGCTTCCCAAGTTTCAGAGCACGCTTCTAGGTACCCTCAAGGGGACCATAAAGACTTGCACTACTCTTAAGCCTACTTCACTGATGCCCATAGACTCAGAGGTTAACTATTCTTGTGAACAAGTGATTTCCCAGACCTCAGCAAGGAGGCTGCACATCAGTGATGTGTCCCTCCAAGACCCGGTGGAGATATGGTTCACTGATGGAAGTAGATTTATTAATGGAGGACATCAAAAGCCGGGTAATGCAATTGTCAGTCCACAACTGAAGCCACGCCCTTTGCCCCAGGGAATTCCACTGAAAAGCAGAGCTCATGACCCATATTCAGCCATTGGCATTAGAAAAAGGCAAGTGGCTCAATGTTCACACAGATTCCAAATATGTCTTCTACATGCCCAGGTAACAATCTGGAAAAGAAAGAGACTTGCTAACTAATAAGCATCTAAAAATCACAAGCAAGAAATGCTGCTACTCTTAGAGATAGTCTATCTTTCCAGAAAGATTGCTGTTAGTCACTGCAAGGGACACCAAGTAGATATATCTGAAGTGTCCTTGGGAAATCAAAAGACCAATTTTTCTAGTCAAGATTTAAAAGATTCACCTTCAGATGATGATCCAGACTGCAGTCCATAACTCTCCACTGAGTTTCCCTCCTCAGTCAGTTTAGCAGCTCTGACATAGGTTACTCTTTTCTCATTGTGCTCAGATAGATTCTTTCCAGCCCAGCTGGTAAGCCCTAATGTCCCAAAGTAAGTCAGAGAATGTGTCAGACCAAAAGGTAGGGCCTACAACTCCTTTCAGCAGAAAATAGCTATAAAAAGAAAGAAACTGCCAGGCATTGTGTTGCATGCCTACAATTCTAGCACTTGGGAGGCTGGGAAGATTGTTGTGAATTACAGGCCATTCTGGGAAACCTGGTGAATTCAAGACCAGCTTTGCCTCCAAAACAGAAAAAAAGAAAGAAAAGCCAAAAGAAAGACAGACAGAAAGATAGAAAGAAGAGGAGGAAAGAAATCTCCAGTACCTCAACATTCTAAAATCATGCAGAGTATGTCTCTCAGGGAAAACTGAATTAGGAGATTAGGGCTGGGGCAAAAAAGTCAAACAACTTTGGGGGATGTGTATCGACATTCTGGAAACCGAGGGGATATGTGTAGAACACAGATCCATGATAACTATGTGACTCCTGAGTGCTGTACATGAATGCAATAAAAAAAAATGCTACGGATGGCAGGACACCAAGCAAGTCTTTTAATAGACTTGACAGGAGGCCAAACAAATCTTTTAATAGGTCATTCTCTGTCTGGTGCTGAGTAAATTACAATGTGACAACTACCTCAATGCCTTATTCGTATGATGGAAAAGTCAATAAAGGAATTTTGGATTCAATGCAGGAATTTTAGATACAAAAGACCCCTCTCCTTTACCCTTGAGTTTACTGTGAGTCTGCTCTCAGTTTACAAAGCATAATGTTTTTTCTACCTTCAATAAATTTACATCCCTACTCCCTTTTCTGACTTGTCTCAAGATACAAAAACATGGAAAGAATTCCCCCAGGACCTACTATACAATAACAAAATTAGGGTTTCCCAAGATAAACCAAGTTCCCCACCTTTACTTTGAGGATCTCCTAGGACTCTATGCAGTGACAGTCACAGTTTTTGGTGATAGTCACATTATACTTAAAACATCTAGAAGGAAGCATTTAATGGTCGTGAAGTAAGTTTTAATAAGAATTTGTTCTAACTATCAACTCCCAACTGCTATCTAGATTACCACAGGTTCAGGGCAATGGCTGGAGATTTTTGAGCCAAGACGAATCTTTCTGGAAATCTCGCATCTTGATGTCTTCAGTCTTTTAAGGAGTATGACATTCCCAAATGTTGAGCTGAGAAGGGATTTGACCCAAAGTTCTAAGGTAACAAAGGACACAAAATGGCCAAGCTTTGTTCTGTTTCTACTTATCTATTGGGTTGTCTGTAGGCCGAAGAGTCATGGTTCATAAATTTAAATCCTTGACTGTCCCAGAAGAAAAAAAATTATGCCTTTAATAAGTAGTAGGTAGGTAGTTGCTCAGAATTCGGCCTGTTCCATCACTATGGTGGGCCATGACTGTTATGTAAGCATCACTATCACAAAAAATCATAGGAGCTAACTCTGATTATTTTACCTCCAAGTACTATTCTAAGTACTTTTCATTTAACTTAAAAACCTGTGAGGGTAATGCTATTTATTACAGAAGGCTAACCTACAATTTCTGAGGCCGCTGGCCTGAGAAGTGAAACCTCAGCCATCAGTGCAGTATAGGACCTGGTGAATGCCAGCTTCTGTGGTCTCTGCACCCTTCTGATTCAGGACCCAGCAGAGAAAGCCCTAAACCAACCATGAAAGCAGTTGCTCTTCATGATAGACAGACTGCAGCTTCCTCCTGCCAATAGGGTTCAAGGACAGCCAACCTCAAGCTTTCCCTTTTCATTATTGTTAAAGAATTGCACAGGACAGTTGAACAAAGGAAGTCTTATTCAAGACTCTTCACTGGGGGAATTCAACGCCTTCAAAAAAAAAATGGTGACAGTTTTTAAGCAATGTGGTAAAACTAATGAAAAGTACTAAAGAATGTTAGGGGGAGGAGACTAGACAATGTGATTAGACCACCAGGTTTGCTCAGGGAGACAGACTTGGGTTTCTACTCTACTCTCCCACAGACCTGGAATTTGGTGTCTTACCATGATTTACTTCAAAAGGATGGACAAAGGTCCTTGAGATATTCTTGGGCTACAAAATTGGCACAGAGCTGGGTGAAGGAAGAGCTACATTTCCAAGGGGCAGAGGAAATTCAAAATGCAAAGTTTTCTAAAACCCTAACGGAGATCAGGTCAGAGAGCTGCGGTCAGGAGGCAGCTCATCTAGTTTAGTCAAGCCAAGAGAATGTCAAGCTTTTCTAGTAAATACCAATCTTGCTTTCCAGCTGAGCAGTGATGCTGGTTAACTCCACTGCTCTGAACACTCAACCTTTGTTCTATTTTTTTGTGACATGGTAGTCTCTCTGTTCTTGATCCTGTTCATATGAACTAAGGTTTTGCTCTGTAACTTAGCCTAGCCTCGAATTTGCTGTGCACTCCAGCCAGGCTCTAACTCACTATCCTCTTTCCTCAGCCTCCAGAGTCCTGGGACTAACGGCCTTTTACCATGTCTGGCTTTCACTGGTTTAAACCTAGAAATCTGAGTGTGACTTTTGTACTTCTTTAAACATAACCAAGTCTTATTGGTTTTATTAACCAAGTTTTATTGATAGCTATGGGTTGAAGAGGGCCTAAGAACTTGTCCTTTACTCCACAGTAATCAGGACTGTTTATCTTCACCTACAAAAGTAAAGTAGGTCCTCCCCAACTAAAGAGCAAAGTACTGACTGCAATCATAGATTTCAGGCTGTTCAAGATTGACAGCCTTTGTTTTCTTACCTGAGCCAGGTGATTCAGTTAGGCTCCCCCACCCACTCACAAATCATCTGCAGTGGCTGACTAATCCTGCCCATGCAACTGTGCTGTCTTTAATGACTTCCTGTCCTTCCTCCCTTGAGGAGTCTTGAGAACACTTTAATTTACATTCTTAGATAATTAAAGAACTACAAATTTGAAATACATAGTTTAAACTCTTAACAGTCAATCAATCATTCATTAGAAAAAATGCAGAATAAGGCTCTTAAAAAAGACATGATGCTTCTTTTTTGCCAATTTACAAATATCTGTCATATATCATCCTTCTGCAATCTCTATAAATATTTCTGTAATTCTATAAATTATTAGTGTCAAGGCACTGTTAATCTGTAATGAGGAATACAGAAAAAATAAAACCTTTTTAGTTTTGATAAGTGACCAAGTAAGCTACTGAAGTATATATAAGGGATACGATGGCTGTCAAGACTATAATGAAAACATTATAAACTATAATGAAACTATAAACTATAATGAAAACACCTTGGGAACTTTTCAAAATGGAAAATTGGACTTAGTAGATGTAGCGTAAGATCTGAGATCCTGAATTTCTAAAAACTTTCCTGGAGATGTCCATTGTTGCTGGCTCACAAACCACATTTTTCACAACGTTCATTTGCATAAAGAAAAAGACAATACTCAGAAATTAAGCAGTTACACTGAGCACTATTTTTGTATAATTTATGCTTAGAACATGTAAGTAAATATATATGCATGCATGTAACAGAATAAAATAAAACCATGCTGAAAACATACAAAATATTAACAGATCTGGGATAAATTTTTTCTGTACTTTTATCTTTTCTTTTTCCTCACAAATATTTCTTTGAAAATTTCTGCATTAGTAATTTTTTTTTTTTAAATAGAAAACCTTTGCCAGGCAGCGACAAATGCCTGTAATCCCAGCTACTCAGGAGGATGATTGCAGGTTCAAGCCCTGACTGGGCAACTAACCAGAGACCTCATTTCAAAATGAAATTTTTTTAAAAAATCCTTTTCCTTCTTTTTCTCCTTTTTTGAAGCAAACAGCCACATCAAGTCTTAGCATCAAGCACTGGTTATATCCAAAAAGAATAAGAGCAGCAAATCAAATGTAATGCATACCAAAGACAATTCAGTCATGAATAAAGGGTTTGAGAGATGGACACTTGCTTGATTCATGTATGTGACCGTGACAACTAACAGTAAAGTGACCAAGTGGCTTCTGGAAGTTTGTGACTCGTCCACCTAATACAGTTTTTAGGTGATCCTGTCTTTCCATGAGGTAGAGGTAAGATCAAAGACCCAAGACCCAGCCATTCTCAGAGATGTCTTAGTATCAAAGACAAGTTTGACTTCTGGTTCACTCCCAGGACACAGGAGAAGTTTCCTCAGACTCCACATGATGACAGGGTCCAGCTAGGATCAGGAAAACCTGTAAAGCAAATTCAGTAGTTCTTCAACTTACCACTTTCTGTTTGCAGTGAGACACTGGTTTTAAAGGAAATCTATAAATATGTAGGCAGCTAACACAGAGGTTGGGTAAGTGCTTAAAAGATTTTTTTTCACTTAAAGGAGATAAAACTAACTCATAAACATATTTGAACTAAAGGACTTAAAATGTATTTATTAAACGACTTAAACTGGGGCCCGGGATATAGCCTTAGTAGCACAAGCGCCTGCCTGGCAAGTGCGAAGTCCCGAGTTGGATTCCCGGTACCAAAACAAAAAAAAAGACTTAAATTAACTCAAAAAGAATACATTTTGATAGGAGAGTTTAAAAAGTCACTTGTACCTATTCTGCTTTTCTAATATGACAGGGCATCAGATTTAAAATCTCAGACAGAGGCAAAGCAAACTAACCTGCCAGGTCCTAAAGAAAATATTCAAAATTCTTACTTACCAAGTACTGTGAAAAGTACTTTTGTATTAGTCCTTTGAGCCTTAGCATGAGTTCTTACAGAAAATGTGGAAGTCTACGGAATTAATACGAGTATACTTACTTATGCATTATGTTGGGAAAAGCTAGAGATAAATCATTAAGAGTACAAAGGAGAAGGCCAGGGATAAAGCTCAGAGGCATAACACCTCCCTGGCAAGAACAAGGTCCCGAGATTGAGTCTCAGTACCAAAAAACCAAAAGTGCAAAAGGGAATCTTAGTTAAAAAACACTAGTTTGCCTTTCATTAGATTTTGTGTGTGTGTTTTATACTTTCTGCTCTGTTAAGACTAAAACCTGAGGGGCTGGAGATTTAGCTCAGCAGCATAAGCGCCTGCCTTGCAAGCAGGCAGTCGTGAGTTCGATCCCCGGTACCGATAAAAAGGAAAAAGACAAAAAAAAAAAAAAAAAAAAAAAAAAAACAACAAAACAAAACTAAAACCTGGTTAGAATGAAGTGAGTTATCTAATAACACTAGTAATAAAAAGTTAATTTTGAACACATTGTATGTCAGCCAGTATGTTAGCCTTTTTCAATTAACTTAATCATAGAAAACTCTGTGAGAAAACTCTATTTATTATCCCCATTTAACAAATAAGGACACAAAGGGAAACAAAGATTAGGTACCTTACCCAAGTTACACAGTGAGAGATGCAGCCAGTTCTCAATCTAAGTGGTTGAACTCCAGTTTTTTTTTTTTTTTTTTTAAATGATGAGGTGATACCATTTTGGTCACTGTGACAGAGGATCTTCTTGTCTATATTGAATAGAAAAATATATAAACCAAATTAACAAACTCAGGTATAATATTTATCTGCCAAGAAAGCTAACTTTAAAGAGTTGCTGGAGAAACTTCACTGTAAGGTGCCAGTGTTGCTGGGTGCAGTGGCTAACATCTCTAATTCCAGCACTCCAGGAAGTTGAGGTAGGAGGGTCACATGTTTAAGCCCAACCTGGCAACTTAGCAAGTTTTGAGACCCAATTTCAAAAGGTCTGGGGACATAGTTCAGTCAGAAGGCCCTGGGTTCAAGCCCCAGTACTGGGGGCAAAAAATAAAAAGAGGAAGCCAAAAAAAAAAAAAGGTGATGGAGGCAATATTCCCTTTTCTACCAATGAGGTCAGAACATAGATCAACTCCTGTGCTGAATTCCTAAGGCAGGGCCTCTCCAAGATCCCAGCGAGCACTGCTAGTGGTAACTCTGTCAGGAGGCCTTGCAGGATTCAGGGACATGCGGACCATTCTATTTTTCACAAATGTGAATTAGAAAATCCATAATGCCCTCAATCATCTTTTAACCTTCAAAGAGCTTACTCAGTAAGCATACACAATTGCTAACTATGACTTACACCTTTAGGCCAATCCTGGCTCATCTATAAAACAAGGACCCATCTTGTCAGGGGGCAAGATCAAATGATCTTCTGGAGGCATTTCAGGGTATAGATTAAAATAGGGGCACATGGAAGGGGCTGAGATAAAAGGTACTGTTCTGCTTTGTACCCTTCAAAAGCCCAAATCCTTTGTTAATTGTCCTTCAGTACTGGCAAGACCGGTGGAGCAGCTCACCCCTACCTAGAATGCCTGTTTTGTTCCTCAAAGTTGTAAACTAGGCCAGATACTCAAGAGGTGGTAAGACTGTTTTTACTAACAAAGAGAACCAGTGATAAAAACAGTTTCAGTAGTATCAGGAAATTTTTAAACACCAGGCGACATGTATTATCTATTCAATGTATTCTTGACTACAAATCTTATTAATAAAGAACTATTTACAAGAATAAAGCATATGATCATTTTATAGCAGATTATATACAGTATTTCTACCTGCACATAAGATGTATGTGCAATATTTTAACATTAAAATAAGTTACAATTCCAGATTAAAAGAATTTTTACTGGACTAATTTAGATGTGGAGGCAAAGCCCTTTTAAAAGGTATTTGACCAAAGCTCAAATATTCTGTTCCTCTTTTTCCCTAGTTTTTTTTTTTTTCTTCTTCTTCTTCTTCTTCTTAACACTCAAAGGGATAGAAACTCTTTGGAAGTGACGAGAAAAAAATTTTACTTGTTGCTTCGTTTTGAATTTTATTTTTTTCAATGCTTTATGTTCTTTTTAAGCCACTAAAATAAGCCTCTTTTTCCATCCCACCCACACCCTTGCACCTCCCAGAGGCAGACCAAAAACTTCAGGTATGCTTAGGTCTTAAAGGGTAAGGGGCAGAAAAGAGATCAGATAAGTTTACTAAGATAGGGAAATCAACAAGTTGTTCTGTTTTGTTTTTTGAGACAGGGTCTCGCCATGTAGTTCAGGGTGGCTTTGAACTCACTGTAGAGCCCAGGCGCACTGACCTTCAGTTGGAGGGAAGCCTCACGCCTCCGCCTGCGGAGTGCTGGATTACAGGTGCGCTGCACCGCGGTCGGTTCTCATTTCAAAACTTACACATTTTGCCACTTTGAAAATACCTTTCCCCGCCTTTTCCTTAATGATTTAGGTTTCTCCAAAACTTCACTGTACTTAAGCCACAAATGGGGTGTCAGCTGCTTACAGCTCCTCCGCGATCTCGGAAACCGGTGGTCTCCCCGAAGCGCCGCGCCAACGCCTTCTAAGGGGGCACCCTTCGGTCGGTCAGCTGTAGCCAAGAGCATTTTTTTCTAAGGAGTCTCGCTTGTCCTCCAGGCGGGAACATTTCTGGGGGCCTCCGCTCGGTGAGGCTCAGGTCCTTGGGGACGCAGAAGTGGTCCTGGGCGCGGCGGGCGCCGGGCAGGGGGGACCCGGGTGCAGCAGGCACACGGCGGACCACAGCCGCTCACTGCCCGCCAGTGCGGAAGGTGACCGCGGTTACCAAGCGCTCCTCCGTCTTCGTGGTCATGCGCCCCTTCCTCCACGCGGTGCACAGCACTTCCCGCGTCACCTGGTGGTCCTCCACCCGCACGAGCACCGGCCGGGGTGCGGCGGCGGGGGCGCCCCGCGCGCCGGGGAGAAGCCTCTGTTCCGGGGGAAAGCGCGCTGCGGCGCAGCCCTGCTCCGGCTCGGGGTCGGCTCTGCGCGTCTCGGCTGGGGCCTCGCCACCGGCCACCTCTTCCCACGGAGCGTCCCCCCGCGCCCCCAGCCACCTCTCGGGGTGCATCAGAAAGAGCACTTTCTCTCGGACCCACGAGTCACAGTGCCGCTCTGCGGCCCGGCCCGGGGCTCCGCTCGCCTCTGCGGGCGCAGGATGAGGGGCTCCAGAAGCCAAGGTGGCGCCGGGCGTCCCGCGTCGCGCAGAAAGGGCCCTGGCCGCCCCGGGCCGTGGGGGCGACCCGCGCGCCCCTCCCTGGGCCCCGGCCCCGGCCCCGGCCCCGGTCCCGGCGAGACGGTCATTCATTCCTCCCCTCCCGCGGGCTGGGCTGGGAGCCTCGCCACCGTCCGCACGCGCGGGCCGCAGCAGTTCCTGGGTGTGGCTTTGCCACTACTGGGGTTCCCGCCCCCTAGAGCGGGAAACTGGCTCGGCTTTAGGCCGGTTTGCCTCTGAATTCCCTCCCCCTCTCCTGCTCGTCTCTGCCTTTTCCGCTTCTAGGCTTCCTAGACTTTCAGAGAGAACCTCGCTTCGCCTTTGTCGCCTTGCTTCTACCCCTCACCCCCGTCCTGGGCCCTTTGTGGTGTCTGTGGTTTTGACTCCTGGGACTTAGCTCTGTGCTGGTTCCACAGTCCCCCTGGCTTCCCTTTTCTCCAGAGCTGGGGTGCAAAGGACACCTCCGCCCAACGCCCCCTCTAAGACTCAAAACAAAGTGTTTTCTGTCCGTGGATAACTTGTCTGCTGAGCGAACAAGGAAGTTTATTTTTTAATTACCTGACTTAAATTTTTCTGAAAAGGATTTCAAGGCTACTCCAAATCCACCCTCACTGTGCTGTGGGGTTTGAGAGACTGGAAGTTAAATCCTTGGAGTTTGTCCTTCTTCCTTTGGAATGCCAGGATCCGAGGTCACTGTGGTCACTCCTGTCTGGCTTTTGGTTATAGGCAGTGCTTATCTCAGGAAGGAAGTTGATGCCTTTGGTTGAAAACAAACTATAAAACAAGCCAGGCTGGAAGTGTTGGTGTAGGCATGTTATTCCAGCACTCACTCGGGAGGCTGAGACAGGATTGCTGCCAGTTTGAGACTAGCCTGGGATGCAAAGTGAGTTCAAGACCAGCCTGAATTGCATAGCAAAACTCTGTCTCAAAAAGACAAAAAATGAAACGAGCAAAACACTACATGAGCTTCATCAGGATTAAAAATTCTGTGTCGTCGTTTTTCCAAATTCCCTCTGCGTCCAAGCCTCCTCTTTGATCCCAGAGGCTTTAGAATCTACTCTAATCTTGGAGGGGACTCTGTCACACTAATCTTTGCCTTAGGTTAATAGAAAAATAGAACTGCCATTTAT